ATGGAATACTGAGAGAGAGGAATCTTTAAAGATATCAAGAGGATAACCTCAAGAAACAAGAGAGGAAGAAGACCTTCTTTCTGCAATGAACTTGACATCAATGTTCTCCCCCCAGTTAGGTCTCTTTTGTGTCTCGTTCCTGGGATTCTACTGAGAACCCCTTTTGTAAAGCAATCATCCTTTGGTTGTCATGACATTGTCGTACTACACTCGTCCGACGGATTCTCAAAGAAACTTCTCTTCTTTGCAACATCAGGTATGTTTTGGAATCTTCTGAACTACTTGTTTGGATAACCTTCACATCTTGTTTCCATACTCCTCTTGCATGCATGCATGCATGGAAATAATGTGGTCATGGTGTTGTTTGATTGATTTGTTTTGTTGAGATTAGGTGAGCACATGGGTGGCTCTTCTACTTCGCAGCCAAGTACTTAATCAAATCCATTAACTTGCTCTTTGAACGCTTCTGAAGCTTCCTTGTTCTACTACTACTACTGCTACATATACGTATATGTTAATGCCAACATGTTAAATGAGTGGTTTGGCTCATCTCACACATCTGCTGGTTCAAATTTGGCGACTATAACATGACGAGAGAGAGAGAAAGGATTTACGAGTGAAGTCGTACTGTCAGATTGTTCTGAAAACGAGTAAAAGAATATGACAGCATCGAATGTAATGATAGGATCACGAGAGAACTTATAATGGTGATAGAGAGAATTTTTCTGAAGTTGCTGTTCTACTAGTGGATCGACAGGGGAATCTTATTTTAAATGCAAAAAGGGGAACATGATATGATGCATTTAGTTAGAGGTTAATTGGTATAAACTAAACATTGATAAGTGACACAAAAAATATTTGTCTCCAAGCATCGTAATCAATAGTAGTAATAATAATAATAATAATAACTGCAAGCAACTAAGGAGATCGATCATAAAGGATAAATCGAGACCTTGATATCGATCTTAGTACAGATTCGGATTAGTCCAAAATCTACTAACACAAGTTAGGTTTTGGGGTTGGATCGAATTGACCTAATCAAATATAGTTAGGAGGACTTTGTTTTAATAATAATATAGACAGCGATTGTTTTATTATTTGTGAAGACGGCAAGTGTACGGTTGATAGACGCAATGTGCGCATGTGAAAGTTGACACTGAAATATTAGTACATATTTTGAATATTATATAAGAATGACTCACCTTCGCTCTTTCCAACTATAATTCATGATATTTTATGGATCGTTGAACATTTTTTGACTTTAAATGACACAGTAATACTTGCTTTGAATCTTCTTTTTGATTCCATATATTTTGAATACTATATAAGAATTATATTACTTTATAATTTATGAATTTTCTTTATGAATGAGGATTACGAGATTTGATTCTAGAATCTTGTGATAAATTATCGATGTCTTTACTAATTATATATATTAAAAAATATATCAATTCAAGATTCGATTCTAGAATCTTATGATAAACTATTAACATTCTAACTAAATTATATAACATATTTAAAATATATATAAGTTCAAATTTCGAATCCTCAATCTTCAATAAGAGATTCTCTTCCACTACCACTAAATAAAATAATAGTAAAAATATCAAAATTTACCATTAATTTTATATAAAATAGTAAAAGTTTAGTGGATGATATATTTTTATTGTATAAGTAGACTTTGTGTCTAATGGAATATTGATGGTAAATCTAAACTTTTAAATTTTGTAAAAGTTTAAGATTTTAGAATATTAAGTTTAATTTATATAATGATATGAATATGTGATAAATATTAGTTTTTGTGATTATATAGAATATTATATATTTATGAGGTGGTTATTGTCTTGGTGAGTTGGCTTCCTATTTTATGATTCATCGTATGATATGAATATGTGATTTATGAAATTATAGATGAAATTATAGATGTGAATAAATTGAATGTTTTCTCGATGATTTTAAATATGTGTTTGAATCTTAGATTATTATTAAATTATAATATTATTTATTTTAAGATAAGTTCTATATAAAATTTATATATCTTATTATTGAGTCCTATATAAAATAATATGTATAGTAGAGACCCGAGCATTTAAGTATTATTATTTTTTCATGAATATTATTTTTAGCATATTTTATTATTTAAATATTTTTCGGATAATTCTTCAATTATTTATGAATTTTAGATTAATGATTATATATGTATATATGTGGTAATGTGAAAATATCTCTAATCTGCACGACATATCCAAAGGCGGAGATGCAGGCTGTGTTCGAGAGGTGCGCGTGAGAGAGGCGGATGGGTTGGGCGGCCGTGGCAGCAGAAGGATTAGGAGTACGAGGGTGCTGTTCTCTTCCGGTTGCGAGCGCCAAGTCGAGCCTCGGCAGGCCAACCATCGTCGCCTCTAAGACCACGAGGCCGCGCCGCAGAGTGAATGGCTCGCCGCCCCGCAAGCAGCAGCCTTCCGTCGCGGAGGTCCAGAAAGCAATTGGCGTCGTCGATGACCCCTTCCGCTCACCTGACGGTGCCTCTTCCTCCTCGTCCTCTTCTTCGCCGTTTCTTGGATTCCTGCAGGACGAGAGCCCCGCGGAGAGGAAGCTTCGCAAGGCCGCCGAGTGGGTGGTCGACAGCACCGAGGCCCAGGCGCAGTCCGGTACCCCCGTCACTCTCCCTCTCATTCCTTCTCTTGCTAGTTTCCAGTTTGCTAAGTATTGCCGTCGAAGAAAAAGGTCTGTAGCTCTTCTTGCTTTTTAAGTTGATTGCCAAGCTTGATTCAGTATGGAAGGGCTTTCTTCTTGGAATTGGGGTTGCTGTCTTAGCAATTAATGATCTTATACGGAAGGCTTATGGTAAATTCTAAAGGTTTTATCATCGTTATGATACCAAATGATGGGGATGATCACTTCGAGGGGATCGGCCTCCTTGATCGCTTCAAGGGGATCGAGGATCGACCCTCCTTGATCGCTTCGAGTGGATCGACCTCCTAGGATTTGTCAAACGACAGAATAGTATTTTTTATATATAACTGAAAAGAAGCAGTTACATCTTTATTTATAGAGTTTCACCCAGAATCCCTTAATGTTTTGGAGGATAATCATGCGTGGATTGATCATGAAGTCAACTGGTGTTTCTTGAATCATAGGTCACTGTGGTTGAACCTATAAAACAAAAATATCAAATTATGTGTATCATTGATTGATTCTTATTTTCTAGTTTAAAAGGAGTTCACTGATTTCACTTTCCTTGGCTAACTTATGAATCAAGCTTGAAGTTCAAATTGCCAACAGATGACATGAGTGAGAGAGTCACCATGTTTCCTTCCTGCACAGTCTATCACAAGGGAGGCCCGTAAGAATGAACCGTGCCATCTAGTTGATCAATGGGGGTCAGGCCACATCAAAGACTAACTGTTTTAACCTTTCTCAATGTGGATTCTATAGTTTGGTTGCTATTATAAATGGTTACAAACAACAATATATGTCTTCATATGTGCTTATGTATCAAACAAAATCTGCTTATGTTTGGCAGTTCTGAATAGATCCAAGTTTTTATTTGAGTGCAAACACTTTGTGTGTTCCATTCAATTTTATTTCCATCTTGTGATCCAAAATTTCCATAAACATCAGGAGGTTCCTCAATCTCTTGGTTTTATTTCTGGTAAAGGTATGAAGCTATTTCCGCAAGTGTAAAATTGTTTATCTGCAACTTATCCACTTTACTGATTCATTATGTAGCTCTTCTGCATCACTAGCATTCAGTAAAGGATTCTTTTGTATAACTGATTCCTCAAGTCTATTAAGCAATTAGGAGTCTAGAAATGTCTGCTTGTAGATATCTGACAAAGAATGATTATTCTAGAGTTGCAATGCCTCCTTTTCACCTTTCTAAG